ATTGTCATTTAATTGTAGGAACTGTCTGATTTCTTCTTTCATTTCCTCTGTGATCCATTGCTTATTCAGAAGTGTGTTGTTCAATTTCCATGTGTTTATGAAATTCTTGTGGTTTCTTTAGTATTGATCTTCAATTCCATTGCACTATGGTCTGATAATATAAAACAGATAACTTCAATTCTGTTGCAGTTCCTTAAACATATTTTATGAACAAGTATGTGGTCTACTTTGGAGAATGACCCATGTGTAGCTGAAAAGAATGTGTATTCTGATTTTGTGGGGTGGAACACTCTATAAACATCTGTTAGCCCGGGATTTAGCTCAGTAGTTCCGCTGCCTGCCTCACAAGCGCAGGGACCTGAGTTTGATCCCTGGTACCAAAAAAAAGAAAGAAAAAAACAAACATGTTAAATTCATTTGTTCAAGAGTTTGATTGAGTTCTAGTATTTCATTACTTTTTTGTCTAGTTGATCTGTTTGTAACAGTGGGGCACTGAGGTCCCCTATTACTATTTTATTAGTGCTTATATGATTTTTCATGTCCATTAGTATTTGTTTTATTTAGTTGAGAGTACTAGTGTTTGGTGCATATATATTAATGATGTCATCTCTTCCTCTTGGATTGTTCCCTTTACAAGGATGTAGGTTCCTTCTTTGTCTCTCTTAATCAGTGTTGGCTGGTTTGAAATCCACTTGATCTGAAAAGAGGATAGCTACTCCTGCTTTTTTTCACTTTCCTGTCACATGGAGTATTGTTTTCCACCCTTTAACTTTCAGTCTATGAGTTTCTTTTTGAATTGTTTCTTGTGTGCAGCATACTGTTGGATCTTGCTTCTTGACCCATTTTGCCAGTCTATTTCTTTTGATCGGTGAATTGAGACCATTAACATTGATGGTTATAACTGATATGTACTGACTTATCCTTGTCATATGACTTTTTCTTTTTGTTGAATTCTCCCCCTTTGCTTTTAATTTCTTATCGTGCCTGATGAGTTCATTCTGCAGGGCTTCCTGGGGTTGTGATCCTCATTGTCTTTGCCTAGGATACTGTCTAAAAATTTTTGGAGTGCTGGTTTGGTATTCATGAAGTTGCTCAGGTGCTCTTTGTCATGAAAGTATCTTATTTCTCCATCAATTTTGAAAAATAGTTTTGCAGGGTACATCAACCTGGGTTGGAGGTTGTTTTCCTTTAGGGCTTGAAATATGTCATTCCATGCTCTTCTTGCCTTGTGTGTTTGTGTTGAGAAGTCTGCTGTGATTCTGATGGGCTTTCCTTTGTAAGTGATTTGTTTCTTTTCTCTAACTGCTTGTAGGATTTTGTTCTTCTGTTGGGTTTCTGGAATCTTAACAATTATATGCCTATGTGTAGATTTTTTTTTTGATCAAGGCTAGTTGGAGTCGTATATGCCTCACTTATCTGTATGTCAAGTTCTTTTCCCGTGCTTGGGAAGTTTTCTGCCATTACTTCTGTGAACATTTTTTTTTAATGTCATCTGCACTCTCTCCTGTTTCTTCATTGACTCCAATTAGTCTGATGTTATTCTTCTTTGCATCATCTAGCAGCTGCTGGACTGATTTCTTGTGGTCCCTGACAATTTTAAAGAAATTTTTCTTTACCTGGTCACTAATTGCAATCCTATTTTCTATATGTGAAATTCTGTCCTCACATTGCTTCATTCTGCTGCATAAACTTTGAATGGAGTTTTTAATCTCCTAGAAATCTGTTTGCATCTGTTTTGTGGATTCTATTTGTTTCCTATGTTGGGATTCCATCATGTTCCTCAGCTCCTCTATTTTTTTGTCTGTGTCATCTCTAGATTTATTAATCACGTCTTGCACTATGGTCACAAACTCTGCTATTATCTGTGAAATTATTTCTGATTTCATTTTTCCCAGATCCTCTTTTGCTGCCAGTTCAGGGAGTCCAGGTGGTTGAGTATCAGATTGTTCCATCTTGTTGCCCTTTGGAGTTGCTTTACGTGATCTGGAAGTCTGGTTTTAAGACTTGTTTACATGTCTTCTCATTTCAAAGGGTGTGTGTGTGTGTGTGTGTGTGTGTGTGCGCTCTGCTGGTGCCCATGTGGCTCACCCTTCAGCGCTGGGGGTGGCTCTGCTCCTCGGCCTTGGGGACAGTGGTACAGCAGCCCAGAAGGCTTCTCCTAGACGCTGGGGGTAGCTGTGTTCCTCAGTGCTGGGGGTGTGGTACAGTGGCTTGGAAGTCTCCTCCTTGGCACTGGGGGCAGCGGTAAGGTGCCCCAGAAGGCTCACCTCTTTGGCCCTGGGGGCAGCTCTGCTCCTCAGTGCTGGGGGCAGTGGTAGGGTGCCCCAGAAGGCTCACTTCCTTGGTGCTGGGGGCAGCTCTGCTTCTTGGCGCTGCGGTTTCTCTTAATTAAAAAAACGTGACACTTCTGTATCTAACCTGGTGATTTAATTATTGTGTAAAGAAAAGGCAGAATCTAGAGGCCTCAGAGATTATGCTCATGTTTTATTTAGCCTATAATAAGCAAATTCCTGTCTGGAGTTTCACTTCTTATAGAGATTTTTCCCTATGAGATTTTTTTCAAAATATTACAATAATAATTTAATGTGAATAAAATTGCTAATTTGATAAAGCATCTACAAATCAATACAAAATACTTTGCATAGTTAAAACTAAATTTGACAGACATTGGATTTACTGTATTTTGTACAAATCCACTGCAGCTTTGGAAACTCCACCCTATACTTACATTTGTGTTGCAGATCTAACAGGTGCTCCCCACAAAGACAAAGCATCTTGTTTAATAGCAGTCAGCTAGCTGGCAGCATTTTTCTTCCACTGCTGGTTCATTCTCTGTGCTGCAAAAGAAAGTTCAACTTGAACTTCTCTAGACTAATTAGGAACAACGTAAGTAGTCAATCATGTATAATCTTTGACAAAATTTATTGGCAAGTTTTATCTTGAAAGTCAAATATAAATAAACAAAGATAAGGATGCTAGCTTTTATCACTGCTATTCAACACTAAAAGTTCTAGCAGAGCAATAAGATAGAAAGGGAAATAAAAGCATACAAACTGGCAAGGATGAAGTAAAAAAATAAGTGTCTCTATTCCTACAAAGAATAAAAATCCCTCTATTCTCTATATAAAGAAAATTCTCAAAGAACTCCAAGAAAGCTAATAGTATCAGCAAAACTGCAGGTTACAAATTTTTCTCAGGTATCTCTTTCTCTCTTACACACACACCAAAAACAAAAAAAAACTAAAAGCTTGGTTGTGCTTCTATATGCTACTTGTAGTTAATAATCCAAAAAAGAAAACCAAAGAATCAATTCCATTGATAGTAACATCTAAAAAATAAAATAGCTAGGAATCAACTTAACCGAGAACTTTCACATTGAAAACTATAAAATATTACTGAAAGAAAAAAAAGCTAAGTAAGTGAAAAAACAGCCATTGTTCATAGATTGGAAGACTTAGTATGTTTACACAAACAATACTACCCAAAGTGATCTACAGATTCAAATAATTCCTATCGAAATCTCAACAGCCTTTTTTGCAGAAATTGACACATCAATCCTCAAATTCATACCAATCGAAAGAGACCCCAAAGAGTCAAAATAACCTTGAAAAAGAAGAAAAAAAGGTAAACAGCTTTCACTTTCAAATGTCAAAACTTTACTACACAGCTACCACAAGCAACACAGTATGTTACTGGCCTAATGACAAACACATGAAGAAATGGAATAGAACTGAGAATCCAGAAATAAAATCATCTATCTAGCACCAACTGATTTTTCAGAGTCAAGTCCATTCAGTACTCCCTTCAATAAATGATGGGACAACTAGATTTCCACTTTTAGAAGAACGAAACCAGACCTCCATTTACACCATCAACAAAACTAAAGCGGATCAGTGATCCAAATATCATAAAACTTTTAGAAAAAAATATAGGGGAAAATCTTCATGACTTTGGAACTGGCAGAAGATTTAGACATGCCAGGCGTGGTGGCACATACCTGTAGTCCCAGATCTTGGGAGACTGAGGCAGGAAGACTGCCGCTAGTTCAAGGCCAGCCTGGGCTACATAACGAGACCCTGTCTCAAAAAAACCCAAAACAAACAAAAAAAGCCCAAAAAATTTAGATATGTGCAATCAAAGAAACCAACAGAAAAATTGGACTTAACAGAATTAAAATGTTTATAATGTATCATCTCCTTGATACTAAGTGAAGAAAATCAGACACACATAAACTTAAATAGTGCATGGTTTCTCTTATATGAGAAACCAATATATAAATAAAGTGCAAAATAAATGAAATATAATAGGAAATAGTCTTGTCCATATACATTTTATTTCTGAAACAAACACTGGGGCTTAATGGAAGATAAACTGAGGCAAACTTGAGGCAAAGCAGTTTCAAAATAATTTATAGGAATCTTCTAAATATCCCATATTTGGCCACTTAAAAAAAGTTATGATTATTCTTTAGAACTGTTTCAGAATTTAAATGAAGCTAAAGCCACAAATATTAAAGTAAAAGCTCTGTCACATATATATCAGAACAAAAGTGTTTTAAAACATTCTAGTTAATCCAAGGGGATGCAGTTCTCTCATTCTCTTCTTTAACTTTAAGACTTGAGTGGATTCAAGCAATTTTTCAACAAAATAATACATTATTTGAAAATGTCTTTTATAGATTAAAAAAAAGAACAGGGGTCTATTCTGCAATAAAAATCAGCCAAGCATCTTCTATGAACAAAGACATTTTCCCTCAATTTGATCCTTCTTTAATAGAACACCTTCACCAACATCCAGGATTAGTAGTAAACAAAATATATCAGAGATACAATCCATATTCCATTCTGACCTTTCTTTACATTAACAAATGCCCTTCTCCACAAAACATAATCAAGATATATTTGTTCAACTCGACAGTCCTTACTTTTTTTCCTCAAGTAACTATAAGAACACACTTAGAAATAAATGCCTTCCACCAATTTTCAGTATCTTGATGATTTCATTTCTTCCCTTGAAAATCTTTAACAATAAAATTACTACCCTGTTATTGCACTCTTAAAATTACTTCACTTCGGGCCGGGGATTTAGCTCAGTGGTTCCGCCGCCTGCCTTGCAAGCGCAAGGACCCGAGTTTGATCCCCGGTACCAAAAAAAAAAAAAAAAAAAATTCACTTCAAATTATGCATTATTCTTGCAAAAACACAAATGTAAATCACATAACCTGGCTCTTCTAGACTGCAATTTAGTAATACTATTCCACCAATATATCCCTAAGAGTTCACAGTACATACAATTTTTTTTAAATCTTGCATTGCTGTGGTGAATTTTTGAATTTACATATCCCATGGATAATTTTCAAAGCACAGACCAAATGGATAATGAAAGTTTGGAGAACAAAATGACCTAAATGTTTGCAGCAATCTAGATCTTCACCATACAAAGTTCAGTCCCCAAGCAGCAGTATAGGTCTGACCTGGGGGTGCCTCACACATGGTAATCTGAAGCCCCACTCGAATCCCACAGAATCTCTGGGTGACACATATCCATCTTCAAGTGAATAAAGCTATGGTAGACCCACCACATCACTGCATCCTCAAAACAATCTGTGAAATGGGACTACATTCATTTATAAAGGAGAAACTCCCAGCTCAAAAGGTTAGTAATTTACCCCAAATCACAAACCTATCAATATTGTGAGCTGGTATTCAAGCTCAAGTATACTGTATCTTGAAAATCCTTTCTAGATCCAAAATTTTTTGTTTGAGATACTCAGGATTGAACCCAGGACCCTAACAGGCAAGCATCTGACCAATGAACCATACCCCCAGCTGTAGTACAGATCTAGAATGTTTTGCATATTAAAATGTTTTAAATATAAAACTGGCAAATTATAAGACTCATTGGAGAGAAAAAATGAACTCCATGGTAATGTACCTATACCTTTCTGAACACAAACACCAGAGTAATTGCATAATCTGTTCTGTTCAGAGATGAGAGGTTTTGTTGGGCCCAATTCTGTCAAGCTGACCCATCAACTATAACCTCTATACATTACAATGACAACTGGGAACAAACCAGAACCTACTTGTAATACTGACAACAGTCATGTGAAGAAGCCCTCAGAAAGCTCACATTATCTGAAGCCAGAAACTTTTAAAAAGTCCACGGTAGAGTGATGTTTTTGTTTTAACCTCAGGAGAAAGACAGAACAATCTAATTTTTTAAAAGGCTGGAAATAATTTTGCCAGCATAAATAATTCAGGTATACATAATTCCTCACGCAGTGATTGATGTATAAATTATACACCAAACTGAATACAATTTTCTACTAAGTTACCTAAGACTTGAAATTACACTACTCTCTTCTCAGTAATTGTAGAGAAGATTAAATTTCTAACTATATAAAGGGGCTTAGGGATTATTCATGAATTTAAATCTTAACCAACTAAATAAGTATAACTGAAAATAAAAAATAAGCTATTTATAACATGTCACACTGAAGAAATTTATATTCCTATATATTGTACTGTTTTCTATGAAAATATCTAGGATTAATTACAATTCCACTTTTCAAGTCAGTCCAAGCTCCAAAAAAGTTTTTCTTCCAGATAATAGCTTCATGTATCATTTTAAAAGAACTAATCACAAAGATGAACATACATCAACAAAAACAAAAATATCAAATTATACATATTTGAAGACTTCCTGTACTTTTCCAATTACTATAACCTATAATAAAAGTTTACCTTTTATTTAGTCAATATACACAAAACAATAAAAGCTCTTAAAGGAAAAACATGTCAAATCTTCCAACTTTTGGCACACAACTAAAAACATTAAAAAATTACGCCAGAAAGAGGAGCAGACATCAGATGTGATTCAGCAGACACATCTTTAAATTTGCCAAATATAGCCACATCCCATAATGTATCCATTTTTAGCCTTCATCACCACTGTTAAAAATCAGCTTGCAAACTGGGGGCACTGGTGCATTCCTGTTATCCCAGCTACTCAGGAAGATTGCAAATTAAATGCCAGCCTGGGCAATTTAGTGAGGAGCTTTCTCAAAAACTTAAAAAAAACAAAATAAAAAATCAGCTTGCCATAAAAAAGTACAAGTCATACTTGGAAACAACTTAAAACTCATTTTAGCTAAATGGAGTCAAATATTTATTTATAAAGAATTCCTTATCACTTCCTTTAAAAAACATTACCTTCTGGCAATATGCATACTACTTTCACAATTTCATACTTAAACATTAAACCTTGAGCACCGCCCTCAAAGTGGGCTTTGCATTTCATTTCACTAAAATATGAGATCTAAATGTGAACAGATACTATCTTTTTTTTTTTTTT